CAGTTTTCTTGCCCCGCCACTGCTTAACCGGACATCCTATCTAGTTTGTGCATCTAGTTTAGCTTTTTAAATAAAAATTAGTGAACTTCGATTAAAAATTGTTGATTTGTGTTCGATCTATCGAGTCAATCAAACCCCTCCGCACTATGCGCTTCCTCGTGTAAACACTTCATCCCCTACTTTTACTCCACATATGAATCCATTTGTGTTCACCTAGTCGATCCCGATTTCTTGGTGGAATTTTAACCCATTTACTTGATCAAGTCAATAGTTGAAATTGGTTTAACAATCTTACTTTAGACACATAATAATATGCATGATGATGGTTGAGACAGAAAGGAAGTTAAAGTAAGGGAATATGTAAGAAGTAGCCGACCAGAATTATGTTATTTGGGAAAGAGTAATGATGATCAAAGATGCATAAAAATATAGCATGCTTGGCTATCTTTAGCAAATAAAGCAAATCGATGGAAAGAAAAATAGTTCCATTGTGACATTTGTTCGATCTACTGTAGGGGTAAAAGGAAACCTGGTTCCAACTTGCAAAATGATCACTTTTCAAGTGGAATGCACCCTAGCATATTTAAATCGAGGGACGAGGCTAGCTTGGTGAAACACTTTGTCTTTTTTTTCAAAAGATATCATATATTGATTGAAAAAATAGACAGTTACACCCTGGAAACCAGTCAGGTCTGGAAATCAAAGAAGCGACTCATAGTCGGATACAAAGAGAGGGCTTTCCTAGCTACCAAATGAGCTACCCTATTGTTCTCCCGACCTATAAAACGCACACTAAAACCCGGCTGAGTACGGAAATAATGACCAATCTCTTCCAGCACAGCACCCAACCGGCTATCTCTGGGTTCGGCTTGGTTAATTTTGTCAATAATCACCTTCGCATCGCCTTCAAACCGGACCTCCGACAAGCCTTGCTCCACACACCAAATAATGGCATCTCTGAGCAAAAGCAACTCCACCACTGCAGGATTATCCAAATGAGCGAATTGAACCCCTCTAGCAAGAAGGAGGGTCCGCGCTGGACCAAAGAGAACCATCACACCAGCCGAATGCGACCCACTCTTAGTAGCCTCATCCCACATGCAAACCAAATGGGACTCTCCCACTATCTCTGTAGGTTGCATCCTCGGGATAGACACCCTAGGCGCCTGGTCCGCTGTAAAACCCATCAATTCCTCATACTGTTGGTTAAATTGCCGCATGAGAGCTGGGATCCCAAATTGTTTGCCTTCAAAGACTACCCAATTCCGAGATCGCAGATCCTCCAAAGGATGGCAACAACAACCATAACCACTGACGGTTGATGAATCAAAGCCAACAGACGTTTGAGAAACAAAGGAAAAGTATGTCGAGGCAAACCCTCCCCCAAGTATTTCAGCCCAGAATAATCCTAGAGAGCCCGCGCGACCGGACAATACAAGAACAGGTGCTCCATCGTCTTCGGGCCATCCCAACAAACTGGACACCGAGGTAGCACATGAACCTTTCTCTCAATAAGCGCCTCCGTAGTCGGCAAAGCCCGATTAAGAATTTGCCAAACAAAAACCTTCAACTTCGGAGGTCGCCTCCCAACTTTGGATCGCCACCCACCCCTCCTCCTGTCCAAATCAACAGCCAAATGGTAAGCCGATTTTACCGAGAAAACCCCGTCTTCCGTAAAATGCCAGATAATTTTATCAGGGACATCCCTTCGCGGAAGGGGAATAGCTTTAATAGCCCTACAGGTCTCTGGGTCAAACCACTGGTTGAGCTTCTCATCAGACCACCTCCCTCCCCCCTCACAAATCACCTCCACGACCAAGGGATCACCCCCCGCAGGCAAGATCCGCGGATTATAGCATGGGGGATCTAATTGGTACTTAGGAATCTAGTTTGAATGAAGAAGGGAGACCGATTGGCCATTCCCGACCTGCAATCTCAACCCCATCTCCAATAACTGTCGTCCATGCAGGATACTCTGCCACCCCCAAGAAGGACGAGACCTAGCAGTCGCAGTCAGGAAAGACCCTTGAGGGAAGTACTTGCCTTTATAAACCTGGGCAATAAGAGATTGAGGTTCATTGAGAATACGCCAGCCTATCTTAGCCAAAAGCGCTTGGTTGAACTGTTCAAACTGGCGGAATCCCATCCCCCCATCATGCTTACTCCTGCACATGTTTCGCCAGGACACCCATCTAATCTTGGGATTACCGTCCTCCGCACCCCACCAAAACCGGGCTACATGTCTATCTAAAAGACGACAAAGAGCTAGGGGAAGACGGAAACAGGACATAACATGAAGGGGAAGAGCCAACGCTATAGATTTAATCAACGTTTCCTTCTCCGCCCACGACAATGTCCTTTGCTTCCACCCCTGAAGACGCTCTAGGAGTTTTTCTTCCAAATATTTAAACGTAGCCATTTTTTATCGAGCAACCAGCGTTGGAAGCCCCAGATATTTATCATGAACCCCCACTGCTCCAAACCCTAGGATCGCGGCCAAGAACTCCTGATCCGGCGTGGAAATATTCTTACTAAAGCACACAGCCGACTTTTCCAAGTTAACGCGTTGGCCACTCAATTCCTCATACTCATTCAGCACCCCCAATTAAATTCTCGCATTCCTAAAGGGAACCTCGCAAGAACAAGTAAGAATCATCCGCGAAGAACAGGTGCGAGACTCTTGGAGCACGAGGAGCTACTTTCACCCCCTCTAACTTTTTCTCTGTGATTGCCTTTCGGCGGAGGGCCGCAAACCCCTCTGTGCATAGCACAAACAAGAGAGGAGAGAGAGGATCCCCCTGGCGAAGGCCCCTAGAGGCAGTGAAATAACCCGAGGGCGCACCATTCATTAGAACCGAGAAAGAGGAAGATCGAAGACATTCATGTATCCACCCTTGCCAGACTGAATTAAAATCCATCTTATCCAAAACTGCAAGAAGGAAGGACCACTCGACTCTATCATAGGCCTTTTCCATGTCAACCTTTAGAGCCATGTATCCCTTCTTCCCTTGGTTTTTTATTTTCAGATAGTGCATTAGTTCATGTCCTATAAGGATGTTATCAATAATCTATCGGTCTCTGATAAAAGCCATTTTGGCCCTCCGAAACGATCTGAGGGAGCATGCTAGCCAGCCGTTCAGCCATGATTTTGGTAATCACTTTGTAAACAAACTGGCATAGGCTAATCGGACGCAATTATCTAATTGTTTCCACTGAGTCCACTTTAGGGATCAAAGTGAGCCAGGTATGGTTAAAGCTCTGTAGCATCCGACCTGAAGTAAAGAAGGAAATTACTGCTTCAACCACCGAAGTACCCACAATATCCCAGAAAGCTTTAAAGAATTTCCCTGTGAAACCATCCGATCCCGGGGCCTGTTTCGATCCTATAGAAAAGACCGTACTCCGAACCTTGCTAGGCAAAACCACAGCCGTCAAATGTGCATTCATTTGCGGAGTAACACTATGGGCAATTGGCAGATTTGCCACCCGCTCAGCCATATTAGGAACCTGAGTTTCCGAAGTAAACAAGGTCTGGCAAAAGTTAGTGGCAATAGTAGTCTTCCCAGTTTCCTCAGTGACCCATTCACCCGCCTCATTACGAAGTCCGAAAACAAAATTCCTCTTCCGCCGAGCCCTTGTGACCGTATGGAAATAGGCCGAATTTTGATCTCCTTTTTTTAACCACTTCACCCTGGATTTTTGTTGCCAGAAAACCTCCTCCGCTTCCCACTGGCGGGAGAGCTCCATCTCCAGAGTCCTGATCTCATCCCAATTCACTAGATGGATTGACTTTATCCTCTTAATCTCAGCTTGGAGCGTCTTGATATTACGCAGGGAATTAGTTGTGCCCGCCCTGCTCCAATCATAAAGCAGATGATGGAGTTTCTTTAGGCGCTCCCATAGTCGAAACATAGGGGTGCCTTGGATCTCCTCTTGCCATACATAGTTGACCATGGCCCTTACCTCCGGATTATCCGCCCAACGGGCATCAAAACGGAAAAGGGGTCGACTAGTACGAACATATGGTTTATCAGCAAGGAGAAGGGCACGATGATCTGAGCCCTGGTCAGTGAAATGTTTGACTAGAGTCTCCGGGAAAGTATCAATCCAGGACTGAGAGCAAAGCGCTCTATCCAGACGTGCACGAATGCATGCATCACCCATGCGCCTAAATACTTGTCAATTGAGAAATTTTGATAAATCTTTGGGGTAGATTTTTAAAATTCTTTTATATTGGTGATGGTAGTATTTGAATTCAAAATTACTTAATAATTTTGGTGATTTTTTATATATTGAGTATTCTTGATGTAATATTTGGATCAACCACGGTATAAATATTCATATAATTATATTTGAGATAATTAAGCATTACCTTCGTATACCATAACGTACATAACCACATTTCTTACGCACTTTTTGGGACGTGCAAATGGTAGGATTTACGTCTCGATAGTATATGTATGAAATTTATGCATAAAAAGATATATGCTAGGCAAGTAGTCACAAACCAACGGGAGGAGGATGACAGGGACTGGTTACGGTGCTAATTGTACAAGAGTTAGCACCGTCCTAACCAAGGGTTAGTAGTGATTTAGCTTAGATGTTGTATTGATTTCATAATAATCCGTAGTGATTTCGTTGTTTTTAGTAGCATTTTTTGCTAGTTATCACGGTGCTAACCCCCTATAAGGGTTATTACCTAATCCCATCCCCCAAGTAAGATGTTGACCCATATAGGTCTGGTTTCGAAAATGAGGATTGTGATATTCACCTCTAACCTAATTGACGGTCATTAGTTGGAGAGGGTGTCTAGGCGTCGCCTAAATGTGTTTAGGCGTTCAAACAAAAATAGCATTTTGTACTAAATGATAAGTTATATAGATGTTTTACAACACTTCTACTTCATTTCAAACGATTGATAGATTACTTAACACATAACTACAAGAAAATAGCTCACAAGTTCATAGAATCATAGGTTAATAATTTACAAAGTTTTTGAGCTATTGAAGAATTAAGAGAAAAGATTGAGATTGTAAATGATGCTAATTTCCCCCTTTTTATATTTACACATACGTGTTGATGTACTACTGCCTGGCCGCGTGCTACATTTCGAACTTGCAACTAAATTCCTAGACGAGACGCTTTGGCATTGTCTAACCCTGAAACGTAAAGTTAAACGCACCTATTAAGGCAATGATTAATAGTACACTTTCTAGTATATACTTAATGGTGCATATTTACTAACTAATTATTATCATATATGCATATTGTTTTCATATTAGAGATGTCACTAACATCCAATTACTCTGCTCAATCATATCCCATTGATGAAAGCAAGCCATATCAAATAGATTATATATATAACTTAAACATGCAAAAGCATGGTGGGAGTTACAAAAGGGTAGGAGGACCATACAGGAAAATTGACATGCTAAAACAACAGAATCCCACCCCTGGTACTCAAATTCCCATATTCATCCCTCCCTGGTACCTCAAAATCTCCTATGTAGCTACTACCACAAACCCAACAAAAATAAAGAGCTTGATACACACACAAACCAACAAACCTTCTTCAGTAGGGTTACGTAGTGCCCATTTTCTTCTTAATTCAATTTTTTTTCTTCTTTTGGGCCTTGTTGAAATATGATCATCTTTCCTTCAGGCCCAGGCGTGTCAAAAGAGGGAAGAAAAGGGTCAAGGACGAAGTTGGTCAAACGTTTTCGGATGGTGGCAGCAGCGGCTGACTGAGAGCAGACTTGACGTGGCCGTGGATCCTGCTGTTGTTGCTTCCCTGGTCCTGTCCTGACTGGATCGCAGCCTTCTCCAGGTTCGCAAACTTCCTCTCTTCGTTCTTGCCCCACAGCACGAGGTACAATCCGATTATGATCAGGACTGCCCCAATGATCCTGTGCATCCATGCCCACGCCAAACACAAAACAACAAGTCAGCAACCACCCAACCCTATTTTTCTGCCCCCACTTACCCCTCGTGACCCTGTCGTTTCCACCGTTGAAAACAAACCGCTAGACACCCAAAACGAGTCAAGAATCGGACCCCAGAGACAGGACAGTTTCGTCATTTTCCAGTTGTCATAGTTTAGTTGTGGAAAAAGGAAAACTTTTGGTCAATTAAAGTTCCCAACTTCTCATCCGATTGCATGCACGCGAGCCCACAAGAGCTCATCATGGCTAGTGATGATTAACCTCATATAGTAACTGGTTTTTTAGGGAACTTTGGCTGAATAGTGGAAATGAATCAAAGGACCAAAACTAGCCATTGGTGATCTTTGTTAGACAAGTGAATAAGAGGGTTGAAGAAACGAATGAAAGTTGCACTTTGGCTTACCCTCCGAGGAAGAACTCCTCGCCCAGAGCCAGAGAGGCCATAATGGCGACAATAAGGGTCTGAACAGGCTGATACACGGCCACAAACACAGGGCCCCCTCTGTCAATGCACCATATCTGCACAGCAAACGCGATCCCAGATGCCACCACTCCCTGCACACACACATAAACACCAAACCAACCTTACAAATTAAAGACACCACCACCCAAAGAAAAACACAAGAAGCTTCTCTCTATCTTCCCCATTCAGGGACCATTATTGACCTCCCCCTTGAACCACTTTTTCATGTCACTTCAAGCTCTTCAACCATTACCCAAGTGGTCTTACTGCAACCCCACAAAAGGGTTCCATTCCGATTCCGAATACGACATTTCTGTCTTTCGGTATCCTTTCAGCTGAATTAATGTAAGCTTAATCCATTCCCCTTGTTTGCATTCACTTTAATTCGATCGCGCGCGGTTAGTTAACCATCAGGCTCAACGAAATTGTGTGATTTAGGGATAGTTATTATTGTACTGACCGCGTAGAGGATGGTGAAGAGTTCGCCGCCGGAGTGGAAAACCCAAGCCTGGGCGTCGCGCTCGACGATGCCGGCGATGACCAGGAACTGGAGGAGGCCGAAGAAGCAAGTGTACGAGGTGACGGAGAGTCTCGCCGGGTATTTCTTCAGGATCGGTGCCTGCAGGACGAGCCAGCCGGACCAGGAAAGGCAGTGGCCGATTAGGAAGATGCAACCCAGCGTCCAGTTCCCGCCGTCCGCTTCGTCTCCCAGCTTCGAGACGTAGCTGGGCACGGATGAAGTCGCGGCGGCGGAGGCAGGGGAGGTGAGCAGGGTTGTTAGCGGTGGAGTTGGGGTGTAGATCGCCGGACCCTTGTACAGAGTGATGACGGTGGCGCCGGCGACGCAGCAGAGGGTACCTAGCGCTTTGGAGATCCCGTCTTTTCTGTCGAATCGCACTTTCTCGATTCTGGGGTGGAAAAAAAAAACAGGGGAAGCTCTGTTTAGTTTTAAAAAGTCCCGATGGATTTGGAGCCCGGCAGAGGAGTTAAAAGGAGGGAACTTGCCGGAGGATGGCGGCCATGAGAAAGGTGATCGCCGGGACGGAGTTCTGTATGGCGGAAGCGAAGGTTGGGGACGTGTTGTTCAGGCCCAACAAGTAGAAGCCTTGGTTTGCAGTGATACTGTTTGTGAAAATGCCACAAAGAAAGAAAAAAAAAACTCATACAGTTAAGTAAGTTCCACTTTCATTTATCCCTTTTCAGGTTCAATTTCGTGCTACTTCAGCATTATAAACATACCCAATGAGAGCCAGGAAGAAGAACTGAACCAGGAAGTTGAGGGTGATGGCTGGTCTTTCCTTCCTGTGTCAAGATCATGATCGATCAACCAATCAGAACTTACTTATGTGATCATAAAGCTTCCACAAAAAATGAACAAACAAACTGTATGTGGAAGCTGCAGAGGAATTTGCAGGGGTTAAGGTAACGTACTTCTCAAGGAAGTAAGCAAAGGGGAGGAGGAGAAGCAGGGCGATGATGTTTCTGTAGACAGGGAACACAAGCATGCTGATGCCCATGTTGAGTGCAGCTCTGGAGACGACATGGAAGCCAGCATAACCAAACTGCAAGGCCAGCATGGCTAAGTGCAGTTGCATCTTCTCAGGGACTGAGCACCACATCCTGCCTCCCGAGCCGGCTGTGTCAGCCATGGTTTGAAGCTTAGTGGAAGGCTGAGAAAACGGGGAGAAGGGATCAGAGAAAATGGGGGTGGAAGTGTGGAGTGCAAAGAGGGTGACTGATGGGTATAAATACACAAAGGAGATTAGGGTGAGCTAGTTGGGTTGGGGAGGAATGGTTACTGAGAATTGTGAGGTAGAAAGAAGAGGGTTTATGTGGTGGGGACAGCTCTTTGGGTTGTCTCCCACATTCTCTTCTTCCTTTCTCTCTTCTCTTGTATATACATTCCACAGCCACCCTTTTTTCTCTTTTACCGCTTGCTTTTGCTTCTTGGCTGACAAGACAACCCCAAATCGCACTATGGGTGGGGGACTATTTTCATTAAGAATGATCATCAAGAGAGGATAAAAAGTGTTAAAAGTGAGAGGGAGGATGAGATTAGATTAGTTATTAGGAGGGAATTGTTATGGTCTTGCTAATATCATCACGATCCTTTCAATTCAATCAATCAATGTATAATTTTTCTATTGATTTGTATGAGTATGCTATAATACAAGCGGTAAGAAGGTTGTGCCCTCCACATAAATTCGACCATAGCAGCAGTCGTACTCATGACTGACAAGATGATAAACATCACTACGTACAATATCGTATGAAGACATTTCATGTGTCCTTGAGACGCATGAACTGTTTGTGTTTAATTATCATACGTATAGGGTGGATGAGTATCATTTATCGTTAATCATATAGTTGGTTTGTTGATTAGATTGCATTAGAGGTAGCTAGGTGTGCAAGTGTAAAGAGTGTGCTTGTTTTTGGCAGCATGCCTTTGCCATTTATGATGAAGAAGAATGGGTGAGTGAGTGAGAAAGGGAGCCGCCATTAAAAAGTATAATAGCTCAAAACGCCTGGCACTGTACATTCAGACTGCTTTTTCTGTTCATACAGACTCGGTTTTCCTGTTCATCGAGTTCTGATTGGTCGCTGGCCTTTGGTGGGGCCTTTGTGTCCTCCTGCCGTCGTTTGTGTGTGTTATTTCTTGCTTTTGTTTGGGGTGACCTGGAGCACGATCAGAGAAAAATCGCGTTGGTCACAGGGATTCTTTTGTAGGCCCGATGATATTTGGGTGTTGAGGGTTTTGATGATGGATGCTCTGGAGATGGGATTTCAATCGCCGATTTGTCCCATCGATGCTTTTTGGTGAGAGATGGTGTATCAGTCTTCTCAACTTACAGAGAGAAGAGAGAGGGTCAGTGACTAGATAGATTAGGGAGTAAAAAATCTCAGCCAAATCTTAGAGATGAGGGAGGGAGGTCTGGTCTGCTCATCATCATTTTTCGTCTGCCTCATTTTTACTTTTTGACTGAAACACGGTGGAAGTTGGAAAGCCCTCTTACAAATGTGATATCACTCTTACTCTTCTATATCAGTTCACTCAATATCACTGCAACATCTCATCTTTCCCTTTTCTCTCTCTCTCTCTCATCTCAGCTCCGTGGTCATTGCCATGGACGATGGAATCACTGAACCCATGAGTTACCGTACGTCTCCGATGAAGAGGACATTTGGTATTTACGATCCAGAGAGTATGTGGGGAAGACTCGGATCGTGGGTTCTTCTTGGTTTCAGGTGATTATTTCTTATCTCTGTTGAGTTTGAGTATTGTTTAGTGGGTTCCGTGATATGAAATGGAGGATTGTTGATGAGTTTTTCATATCTGAAAAGTGTTTTGCTATTGCCAGCTCGATGAATCCAAAGGGATTATTGTACAAGGGCACGAGCTCTTCAATCCTCTGGGTAACATGATCCTACCAACGCAAGGCAGAAACGGTGCTGGTTATGGAAGGGTACGTATTTCCTTGGGTGTTAGAGTTGGTGTTGCCCGGGTATGAGAAACGGGTCAGGAAGCTGAAAGCGGAGAAGAGGAGGTACTTGATGAACATGGGAATGGTGTCTGGTATGGAACTGGAATCGCTAGGTTTGGAATCTTGGGAGATCTCCAGGCGACAAGGGTATTTGAGAGGCGGCGACCCGGATTTCCGCTGATGTGTGCGAGGAACTCGATCATTCTGCGCATTCTACTCATGAGCGTGGAAAGAGCATAGTGCCTGCACAAATATGCAAGTTCCTAATAGCTTTTATTCTTTGCGTTTTAATTCTTTGCGTTTTAATTTTGCTTGGAAATCAGGTTTGGTTGATGTTGCTTTGGTAATTTTTGTGCATATTGAGACTATCAAAGTTAGTTAATTCTCAAATCTGGTTGACCACACGAAGAGATCTACCAGTTCTTCTCTGAAAAAGCCGAATATGTTGGATTCCAGTTAAGGCTCTCCTTCCCATATTTTGTTGACATCATCTCCTCTCTAGCTGGAGTGCATTGATCTGTTCTCCGTTTTCGTCTTGGTACATATATGGTTTTCTCTTTAATTTGATGTTAACCCGTTTTCGTCTTTCTTATTTGGTTTATCAAACTTGTCAGGATCTATTTATGTTGGATTTTGTTCTTCTTTTGTTCCTTCCTAAGCAGGTGAGTTGATCTCTCCCTCTTTTAAGAATAAGAGTTGATGTCTCATTGTTTGACAGGTTGTTGATCAGGGAACTTCCTTTTGTGGAGTGATATTTTTTGCTGATAGGTGGGCATCATATCTTCTCGCTTTTGTTGGATTCGGAAGCTCTTGGTTTGGACAATTGGGTGTGATGTGATGAATGTAGGAATGTGGGCCTGTAACTGATCTATGGTGTGCTTCTAACCAAGTTCTTTGGAATGTATGTAATTATCATGTGTTTCTGTGGAAATTTAATGGTTTGCAACGTGTGCTGATTGGAATGAGTTTTTGTTTGTTAGCAAGACTTATTCTATTGAGAAAGTGTGCTAATTATCTCCCACTGAGATTGTAATTGCTTTATGGGCTGCCTGCAACTATTTGGCAGACTTCAGTAGTTCAGTTTGCCTGCTAAGCTGCATTGTCCCCCTGAAATCTTGGACAAGGGTTCAATTTAGCTGTGTTGATTTTAACATGTTCATTAATTAGCAAACTGAAAACATGTAAACATTTTGCATTGATTACGCTGCATAGCTATTTCTTGGTGCAACATGAACTTTCAATGTCTTAATGCTGCTGTTACTTGGAGAATAAAATGAAAAAAAATGTTTTTGTTTTGGATATTAAGTACTGTTAATTGTGTGTTCATGTTATGTGAATTAATTAGTTTAATTTTTTTCTCTTATGATGAACTGAAATATATTACTTATCCCGGCGCAGCGCGCGGGTAAGAAAACTAGTTGATATGAAGAGAGCACGCACGAAGTGGGATCCGCGTGCCCATGCGCTCTCAACCCTATAAGCTTCCTCTCCTAACCGACTCCTTTCATCTCTCAAGTTTGAAAAACTGTAAACCAACCTCACTGTCATCTAACAATCAATGCATAGTAATTCATCGTTGATGAATCTATCTATCTATATATAATAGTATGGCAATTTAAAAGTAATTGTTTGTCACATAAGCTCTTGGAGAATTCACAAGTTGTTAAGGTGGACCTTTTTTTACAAAAAAAATAATTATTATTATTGATAAATTTATGAAGCTATCTCTCTTCATTTAGTATTTCATTTTCTTTTATCAAAAAACTTTTTGTTTTTGTTTTTGCATTGTACTGATGTACGCCGTAACAAATACTATATGGAGAGTGACATATATCACATTTATGATCTCTATTTTTTTAATATTTATTTTTCTTATAACAAATAGTTTTTTTTGTTTTTGCTTTTATATTATATCGATGTACGCAAGTAGACTAATGTATTTACAAGGACACATATCAATTTTCTTAAAACCAAAAAATATTTGATTTAAGCTTACTAAGTAAAATTTGACTCATTTTTACTACAAATTTAAAATATATTACATTTTGATGAACATTTTAAACAAACAGACACATATGTTTCTTAAAAAAAAACTCCTTATGCATTATGATTAAGTAAAAACATAGGAATCACGGGTGCAGTAATTTGTAATGTATGCTAAGTTTACATTTCCAATATTTATTATAGATCAAGTTGATTGAGCAAACTCTATTGAAGTCTTACGTAATATGCTAAGAAATTTTGTTTTCTGGCTTGGAGTTATTAATAGTCAAAGATTATAAATCAAAATTTCCAAAATGAATTAAGTGTGATTGTTGACGAACTCTGATTTCATATTCTAGGATGAGTCACAAGATACATTGAAAAATGACACGTGTGAAAGTTAGAGAAATCTTTGTTAAGGTTGTACGTCAAACATCAGGTTTCATCAACCACTCACCTAGACATTAATAAAAAAGTTTGGAATTTTTTGTGTTACTATTTGAATGTCTTGGTAAAAAAATCTAAATTATACTATTGAGATAATAAAATTAGTTGAGATATCTAAACCAAAAACTTTCGTAGTTACAAGAGTCTAGATAGAGGTATTTGGTTAAAATGAAGAATTTTTAATAAGGATGAGTTCAATAAGACAATTGCAGAAATTAATTTGGTTATATGGCTGTGAGTCTGTGATTCCATACCAAATTTTTTGTGTAACAAAAAATTTTCTGATATGAAAGTCTCAACATAAAAATATACTTTTGTTTCTAAAAGTAATACCATTTTTATTTACATCGAGTTATCATAGCCAAAAAAATTTGTTTTCATATTTCACCTAGCGAGCCGAGCTCAATGGTATTAATTAGGGTTGAAAGTACAATATAATCGAGGAGTATAGTATACTTTAGGTTATATGACTATTAGATGAACTTTGTTGAGCTACGACCAATCTCAACGGTCAATTATTTTTTTATTAAATTGAACTTTGCGCTTGGGTTTTGAGAATCAGAGCATGGGGATTACCCATTAGAGGTTAGGGTATAGTATCATACCCCAAACTCGATTTAATTCATGGTCCAGATAGAGATATATCACTATATTGGATTATAGTATACCCCATGAGTACACTGGTCTTATTCATATATATGTTTAGATAGATGTGCCTAGAATACATCCAAGAATTCAAATGCATTTGAAATGTCACAATGTTCGTATGAACAATCACCAAAGATAAATAAATTTTAGCGAATGCACATTCAAACATTTGGAAAATTATACACAAAAGGACCAAGTTAATACGAGAAACATCGATAATCTATGTGAATGTCTTGGATTGAGTTTCTAAACCAAAATCTAGACAGCAACCATGAGTTGAGGGTTAGTCCAAACTTCAAAAATTAACAATTGATACGTACTGTATAAGATACTAAATTTGAGTGACTTGATAGTCAAATTTTACCAGAAGATCCTTACCGAGACTTCATTAACATCAACAATGAAAATGAGTGAGGATTAAGAATTTAATCATAATAAGGGGTACGATGTGTGCCAAGTTTCAATTGGGATAATAAAGTGAATTTATCTAGTAATCAAGTATCTTTATCCAATAATTTAAACTCTCATAAATTGGTTGAGAGTTCATCCAATGTCAA